TTGCGCGATTGTTCGTCCAAGAAGATGTTGCGCATGGTGGATTGCATGTAACAACATATTGGTGAAATTGAGAGTGAAGCATGAAATTGAGAGCCAAAAAAAATAAAATTCGGGTCCTGACGTCTCTTGCCATTTCTTGGGAAGCTGGGGGCGGGCTCTTCCAAGAAGCGGCGCAAATTGAAGGTCTCATCAGCAGCGTCAAGAGCATATGCGTGTCATCGTCATCGGATGCTGCAGCTAGGAGCTAGACAAGTTGCTAGATTTCCCCAGATTGGCTATTCCTGCCTCAAACTGTTGCAGGGCGGTTTGGCCTCGGGCGGTGGGCTCTGCTGTAGCTTCTGCTCGCCGCTGTAACTCCACATCGAGAGACTCCCACAGGATGACCANTCGTCCGTTACCCTGTCATAGTTGTTGCAGAGCTCCTCGAAGGCAGCTTGTCCGTCGCCGCTGATGCCAATGTCGTCTTCGTGCTACTGTATCGGCAAGGCGGCTGGAAGTTCCACTAGGAGGAAAAGAATGGCGTAGAGATTTTCCCTTGTGTAGGAGTCGAAGGCCGCTGTGTCTGCGGGATCTGGCTTCCTTTGTTTCTACAGCAGTGGCAGGATGTCCTTCCTGGTCACACCTAACACCACGCAGAATTCTTCATCCATGTCTTGAACCCAGCTGGGTCCTTTCCGTCGAATTTTTTTAGCCCTTTGATCACGGTTGCCAGGTTCGTAGAACTATCGCTGGCGAACGCGCTTCCACCTCCTGTGTTGCTCGTTGCAGTATCCATTGCGCGTTCCAGCTTTATTTTCTTCGTCTTGATAAAAGTACTTCCTGCTGTAGGAGTAAGTTTGCTCGTGGTAATACTGCCTGTACCCGAGACATCCCCACCCCGTTCCTGCTACTGATATAGAGGACTTCGGTTGTGGTTTTCTTGTTTCCGATCCCGCTCCTGCTACTGATAAAGAGGACTCCGGTTGTTGATCGCCTCCACTGATGATACAGTGTAGTTCCTTGTACACCCGATGCGTATGCCGCTCGAGACTCCCGCGCACGTGACCCTTGCTGCTAGTTCACCACAGAGATACCCGCTACTGCCACAGGGGTGGTAACGTGTGTATACGACGTGAACCCTCAGCACCTTGGTGTAGATGACCAAGTTTGCGCGTCTGCTTGTGTTGCCGTTGACCGATGACGGCGTCGCAATCTCCAGAAATCTCCGAAACCAGGTTCTCTCGTTGTCCACGGATAAAGGTTGATGTCCCGAAAAGAGGTTGCCTTAATCTTCTCGTGGTGTTCGCAGCTCGTAGTGTGTGCGTTAGCCGAGGCTCATAACCTGTCAGAGATATTTCGCTGTGCACTAGCAGCAGTACGATGCTGCAGATGCCAGGAGGCTGTGTAGCCTACCTCAGAGGTTCACACTCTGTGCGTCTCCAACCGCGAGAGACTTGGAATGGAAATATGAAGATGCTTTTATTAGTTGCTGACTCCCGAGTCAGATGTTGCTGGTACTGAAGAGGAGTGAGAGGAGTGGGCGAGCTTAGGGCTGCACCACTCTTCTCGAATACCGGACAAATAAGCCAATCACACGAAAGATCCAGAATGCTTCCAGAATGATTTCTGGAAGCCCTCCTACGTTCTAGAAGAGTATCAACTGCAACCTAGATCTAGAACGCTTCCAGAAGCTTACAGAAGGAACCAGAAGTTTCCAGAAAGGCTTCCAGAAGCTACAGGAGGAACCAGAAGTTTCCAGAAGGCTTCCAGAAGCTACACACGTTCTACATAGATGTCCCGACTACTGGTGGTCTCGACGCACGATTTTCCTGACAGGCCGCAGGCGTATACTGCGACCAGGCCAATGAAGCTCCTTGTATCATTTAAAAGCCCATGCAGCTGTGGCTTGTATAATAGTGTACCACTTCTTCTTCTCTAGAATGCCGCTCCTGATTGGCGGTTTACACAGCGAATGAAAGACGCTCAATTTTGTAGCCTGATTAGAAAAGCTTACATCGTATTTTCGCGAGTTCGTTCGTTGTTCAGGTTTTTCATCAAGGTTTGGAGTTGGTGTTCTTCGTATTTTTTCTCTTGATCGGTGTGGTGTTTGATTCGCGTACAAGTCGGCATGAGCGTCTCTTCTTCGGGTACAAGCTGGGCCAACCAAGAAGCTCAGTTTCGTTGTTCCGCGTCTCACGCTGCCGATTTCACGAGTTTAGGCTTGAAACTTTGTGGCTACTACTCTTAGAAAACAATGGACGATGCGCCGGTGCCAGAATTTTTCGAGTCTGACTGAGTTGATTTGGGTGTTAAATGCTCAATTGGCCGTGTAGTGGGGGATGCCTCCGGTGCTGAAATCAGTATAAAACAAAATTTACAGGTTTGGTCGAAATTTGGTGTGCACTTACCTGGGAGCATTGCGAGAACAATAATGGTGTTTACAAGGCTCAGTTCATCTTCCATCAAAAGTTATGGCCTCGTAAAAGATCCTCCACAACGCTGAAGATACTGAGGAAAAGTGAGAATATCGCGATTTCCGAGCCGGTTTTTACGAACTATTCTAGAACCTGAAATTTTGATATGTGATTGGAAGCGGTCTTACAAATACCCCCGAGTGAGGTGCGTTTTTTTTTTTTAAGCCACAAAACCCCTATACTGGGGTTCTCAGTTATTGAATATAGGGATACCTCACCAAAAAAAAAAAGCACTTCACTCGGGGGCATTTGTAAGACCGTTTCCCATCACATATCAAAATTTGAGGTTCTACAAACAACATATTCGCCTGATTGAGAGCGAAGTATCTGATTGAGAGCGAATCTCGCTCTCAATCAGATGCTACGCTCTCAATCAGGCGAATATGTTGTTTACAGTGGAACCGATTGTCCCGCAGATTTCAGTTGACCGGCTATAACTTCATCAATAATGTTTTTTTTTTTAGTATTGATCTCCATCGCAAATGCCACAAGAGTTGTTCAGGGACCAAATCGATTTGAGACGTTCCTGAGAATTCGTGGTTTTCGGATAGGTTTTTCCAGGCGTTTTCGGGAGGGAGGGATGAAACGTTTCGTCCAATATCTCGATAACCACTATCTATCGTGATCATGCCGGGTTTTTTTGTTTCTCGGTTGATATCGGCGGGGTTTGAGCAGGCGAACGCGATGGCGCCCTCAAAAAAATAAAAAACACTCTTAACAAGTCGATATACGCATTTGAAGGGGGGCACAAGAGATTGTACCCCCCTTTTCTGGTCACAAAACTTATCGTTTAACGCTTGATATTTCGTTGTTTTCGCTTCATCGTTGGGAAAACCCTGTTGGGAAAACCCTGCGTTTACACTCGACGACACTCCCTCGCACTACTTTTTACATTTGCCAAAAACTAGTCTTCTACATACAGTACAGCACGCCCAATACTACCGATCTTANTTCGTTGTTTTCGCTTCATCGTTGGGAAAACCCTGTTGGGAAAACCCTGCGTTTACACTCGACGACACTCCCTCGCACTACTTTTTACATTTGCCAAAAACTAGTCTTCTACATACAGTACAGCACGCCCAATACTACCGATCTTATCGACCGGGAGGGAAACGCAGCCGTTCGAAAAAAAACACGGACAACAAACTTCGTGGACAAACCGAAACCGACAGAAGCAATCATTCAGGGCTTCCCTGATGGCCGCATGGGCCTCAGGGCGAAGCATGGAGGTCATGGGCGTGCAGTGCGTGCACCGCCAGCTTGTTTTGTTTCCAGCCGTTGGGGCTGATGTGGGCAATTTTTGAAAAATCTTGTTACTGATTTTTTGCGGCATCTTGTCAAAAAGGTTCGGAAATGGAACCAACGCCGCCATAAAATAGAACAGAAGGAGAGCGTCAATTATCTGCAACTTTTTTCGGTGGGTTCGCCGTAGTTGTCGAGATATGGAGGATTCAGTGGAGTAAAGTACCTTCGCTGGCGATGGTAGTAGGTCCATAACTCTTGATCCAGAGCGAACCCACCGCTTTTGAACGGCTTATTCGAAAGCTACTGGCGAGAGAGAGCTTTCCAACGCACATTTGTTTGTCACCCAATTCTTTTGACAACCCTTTAAAAAATATCACCCCGCCCCAAAAATGTGGGACAATCGGTTCCACTGCTGCTGTAGTTCTTAAAAACCGGCTCGGAAATCATTTCAAACCATTTTGTTGGCTTCTTGGCTGGCCCAGCTTGTATGTATGATAAGAAGACCGACTGCGTGTACAAACGCGAGGAGCGTTTCACAGGGACGTACCAAGCATCGGTGAAGGGACCAAACATCGGTCGCTTTGCCGCTTCATGTTGCAGATAGCCTACAATATTATTCCCCGAAACCCAGCTCTGACAGGACTGCTACTACTGCTGTAGAAACGAAACGTTAGGTATGATTGATTGGTTGTGGCATGCAAGTTGCAAAAGTTGTACCGACGCCCGGGGGGGGTCGAATGATTCGCGTTGTGCCACACCAAAAAAATATTTTTTGGAGGGGTTACCTTTCCTTGCAATCGTCGTGTGTCCAAGTACCAGAACAAGCGAATGTAGCATGAGCAACTACGACGACCGCCGCCGAGAAAAAAATAGACTAAACGTTGTGCGGTCGGGCGGCGTTTGTTTTTGGGCGGCACTTGCCATGTAGTAGTAAGCGCCCGCACATATGCATGCATAGGAACTTCTAGTCTGGCCGAGGCTATGGGGTTCGTACTCTAGTTCATTGGGTTATTCTTTGAAAGGGGCCCGCTCTAAGCACGAAGAATCCGGGAGTTCAATCCCCCCTGCTCCCATTTAATAAAATTTGTGAAAATAAAAAAATAAGTGCCGTTACTATATTTATGTTACCCTTCAAAACTGTTAGTTCAAGCTGCTGAACTTTTGGGTGCTGGTCTAGCGACTATTGGTGGAGCTGGGTTTTAGTTTAGGGGTCCTTAACCGAGCTAGTTGTGCAAGTTGGAATTTTCAGTTTCGTCAGTGCCGAGGTTAGGGGTAGGGATACGAACAACATATTCGCCTGATTGAGAGCGTAGCATCTGATTGAGAGCGAGATTGCGCGATACGCTGTAGCCGGACTACCACTGAGAGGTGGAGCTTGCTGTGTAGCTTGAATTGAAGGGCTAGCCCGTAGCTTCAAGCCGCTACCCTGGTCATCCTGTGGGAGTCTCTCGTTGTGGAGCTACAGCGGGGAGCAGAAGCTACAGCAGAGCCCACCGCCCGACGCGATACCGCCCTGAAACAGTTTGAGCAGAAATAGCCAATCTGGGCAAATCTAGCAACTTGTCTAGCTCCTCGCTGCAGCATCCGATGACGATGACACGCATATGCTCGCGAAGCTGCTGATGAGACCTTCAATTTGCACCGCTTCTTGGAATAGCCCGTCCCCTACTTGCCAAGAAATGGCAAGAGGCGTCTGGACCCGAAATTTCAATTTTTTTGGCTCTCGCTCTCAATCAGATACTTCGCTCTCAATCAGGCGAATATGTTGTTTACGGTAGCGATGAGTTCTACAAAGATAGGAAGTGCGGGCGCTAGCTGCACTCCGTATCTGTCGGGTTTGTTCGGCGAAATGGCTCCTGGGCCAACTATTTTTTTTGTGTACTTGTGCGCTATCCATGTAGACAATGTGATTGGATCGTCTTCTGAAGTACATTGGAGCGGGATGTATGTATAGGAATTTAGCTCAACCAATCAAGACTGTGGGTGACGTCATCGGTGGACCACGGATTTTTCCACCAAAGGAAATTTCCCGTCTGTGTGCTGCTCAGGAAATCGTTGAGATACAGGTTGACTTCACTGACTCTATGGATTCATTGCGAATCTATCTTGACTCTTTTCATAAGTAGAGATGGGTACACTGACCCCTCAGAAAACTGCGGGCGTCTTCTGTGGCGAAAGAGTAACTGAAGGCCGCCACGCCCTGCCTGTATCCCGGAACACCTGTCCATTATGATTTGATGATAGCCCTGGGGTGAGTCCCCAGCCTCTATAGTTTTCCGCTTCGTTCGCCATGCCGAACAAGCAAGCACAAGCAGCTTGACAGCCATGCATAAGAACACTATAGTGGAGGACACTCATTTCGCTTATTATTACCTCTGCCATCGATCGCAACATGGACAAGGCAAGGATGGGGGAGCTAGAAGGCAGGCGAGCACCCATGACAGGGGGCGAGGATTGTGCGTCCCTCTGTCCCGCAAGGCCAGCCACGCATCGGAGGCTGGCTGTAAGATGGGGCCTGCAGCTGCCGCCATTCGTTGTGGTTGATGTAGCCGGGGGGTATAGCCCCGACCTCAACTGGCGCGGCGCTCTCACGAGAATGCTCCAAAAATACCAGAAAACCACAACGATCCTGCGTCTAGCTCCGCCCGCACGATGCCTTTGCATGTCATGTTCAAGGACAGAGAGAAACTCTTGTGGTCGATTGTACAGATATCGGACTCGTTCATCGAAAAGGCGAGAGCTGGTTTTGTGAACAAATCCTCCAGCAAATCACCGCACGAAGTGGTATATCGCATGGGACTGACTCGGGGTCGGAACCTGTTCGGCCGTAAACTTGGTTCAACATTTTCTTCCAACAGCTGTCATGTACTCCTGGAAGAGAACGAAAGTGAATCCGCTGGTAAAAAGAAAGCCACCACGCAGGTAACAAAGTACAAAACAAAGAGACGGGAGTCCGATCAACGGCGTGGAAGCAAGCCTGGTTCGGGCGACAGATCCAAGCGACACCAGCAGCTAGTTGCCAACTGGGATAATACCCGTGAAGAAACCGCCCCCTAGGATACACATTTAAAGGCGACATGCTCGGTGTGGAGAAAGAACAGCAAAACAAAGACCTTGTCGACGCTTGGTGGCAAGGACGCCCAGCAGCGAAATCACGGCGCAGACAACGCTTACCTTCCCGCAAACACAACCCCGCCATCGCAGTGAAACATATCCTAACCCCCATGTGGAGCCGGCAAAAGCATGCTAATGCCAGTCGATCCCATCTCCAAGCAAGGAGTGAAAACCAGATGTTCCGAACGCGAGCACATCGTGAGGGTGGAGATGAAAGCAAGCTCTTCAAACGCACCGGGCCAAAAACGAAGGCCACTTTTCTTACTCGGAACTGGATCATCAGGCCATGAGCCGACCGCGACGAGGAACATCATGCAGGAGAACCAAACCCACAAAATAGACCAATCAACGACAAGAACGGAAAATTTCGACACGATCTTAGTCCATCCACGTCTCACCATTGGGAACAACAACGTGATATCAAAATGGAGGAAGACAATTCTGATCCCGTCGGAATTTTCAGCGGCCGAACGCATCGCGGCGCACACACGCCCAACCGCTTTACGCCATAGACCACAAGACGGCACGTGAAATCTGTGGGACACGCCACGAGGAGAGATTGAAACGGAACCACACATTTATGTCATCCAACTATCGTCCCGTCTTGAAGCAACACGGCCCCGGAAAAAAAAAAAAGGTGTCTGATTCACGCCTCCAATTGTACTGCTTGGCGGAAGAGGATGGCGCTGCACAGAAACATAAGATCGCGTTAGGAAATCATGCGTATAGACCCTCGATGATGTCGGCGTATTTTTCGGAGGCCGGGCCGCGCTTGAGCTTCAAGGTAGGCGTCAGCTCGCCACCTGAAAGATAGTACGACAGAACAACGTCAGGTTGAGATAACCATTGTCTGGATCATGAGAAAAGTAGCACGCACGCATTGATGCCCCCAAACAATACTACTGAAACTACGAGATCCGACACGCGCTAACGAAAAAACGTAGCACCAGCTCCTTTTAATTTCGCTCTTTTTCACTCTTTTCATTCCACTCGCTCACCTTCTACGGAGAAGTCGTGGGGGAGCAAGGCCCACTTGGCCACCCTCTGCGCGTTGGACGTCGTGCGATTGTTGCAAGCCTTCACGGCCTTGTCGATGTACTCCGTCCACTGGCGGCGACACAAAACAAATCAAACCAATGCGGAGAACAAAATCAGCGGTCCTTCATACATGGGTTCCCCTAACAGTGCTGCCGATGTCCGGAAAACTCTGCGACAATGGGCGTGGCATGTACCCCGCAACCAACGCAAGAAGCGCGTTTCCTGCATCATCACGTGTACCACATGTTCACCGATCTCGACCGTTCCCTTGCTCCATGACGACCTCGGCCATAGAACAGTTGCCGCATGCAAGACCGCATAGATAGATGTCTTCAACCAAACAATCGGGACGTACAGGAGGCTCGACGAATCGAACACCCGCAATACGAGAGGGGGATACGACTCTCATCCGCCAGATAAAGCCGGCCACAATACTGCCAAGGAAGGAGCCAACATCTGGTCTGAAGAATCATCGTCTCACCTTGGGGTCTGCCTTGGCCTCCTCGATGGTGGTGGCCGTGCTGCCGATCTTCTCGCACGCCGTCAAGCTGTCTCCCGCCAGCTTCGACGTCGGCGTGCCGTCCTCGGCCACCTGTCGTTCGTTTTGAGTACATTATTTATAATATTTTCTTCCTGATGTTATCGAACACTTCTTATCGATCGCCTTCTTGACGTGGCGGCGGTGACGGGGAGGACACCCGCCTCCGTAACTTCGAGTCGAAATCTTCGTGCGTACTCATCTCACCACCAAAAATCGCAGCTGGGCTCCTGCGCCGTGCAAGCCATACTCAGTAGTGTTGTGCCGTGACATGCCCTCGGTTGCATGACGGAAGACATCACTCCCCCCGTTGGACGGATTATCAAATCTCGGTTAACTCCAAGAATTATGTGCTGCTGTACGAATCAAACGATCGACACGCTGTCGGACAGCATTTGACGACACGATGCCGACATTTTCGGCACCGACGCTACTGTTGGCGTGGAGCAAGGGAGCGTTCATCACAAGTCCAAGTGGGTGTGGCATGCCTACAGGAGTGGCTTGAGGACAACCGTAAAACTGCTCTGCGAGAAATTAACCGCACCCCCTGCCAGACCGACTTTGTTTTTTCGGAGTTCGGTTGAACCACAACCAAGAGGTTGCCAAGATTGTTGCAAGACCACTCTCACTTGGATCATGAGTGTAAGTATTGGATTTTTATTATCCCTTCAGCTCCAAAGTCAGAGTTCCCGCCCATGCTTAAATCCCTGTCGTGTACCACCTCTTGTCCACGGCCACTACTTGTTCGGGAGCCTGGTTCAGTCGCCCAAACTTTCGTGCTGTCAGCACCAGGGTTAGGGTCACTTACGGCGGGCACACGCAGCAAAGTCGTCCGTCTCAAAACACCACGATCGAAGAACCATGGCCTAGATACTTCGGTCTCGAAACACCGCCGAAGTGTCGATTGTAGCCCGGGAGTTGGCCCGGTCGCGTTCGTTTGGAGGATGGCTCGCGCCCCCACGGAAATGGATACAGGTGTCTTGCCGCGGAGACACACTTCGGATTTGTATACAGTAAAAGAACCCCAGGATAATCGCTCACGACTGCTTTCTGCAACTGTAAACTCGAAGAGGCATATCAACATCAACACTGGATGTAGACAGGTCCTCCCTGCTAGGTGATCATTGACTTTCGTTTGTACAGTCCCAAAAAAGGCCGGGTGGAACGGAAACAGTTAGAGAGGTGCAAGTAACGCAAGAAAACAATACGCCACGCACGCCGTCGCGTTTGGCGCTGGCGGCCTCAGGTTCGCAGGCCTTCCTGGCATCTCTCCAAGTTCTTTCCTTACTTCCCGGCATTCTCGCGGCAGGAAATGAAACACGAATGTTCTCCCCAATGTTAATGCTGATGACCTCTTGAGGTTTCAAAAACAGCAGTGTTTGATGATATCCTTGGTGCTGATTTTGCTGTGATTTCAACTCTGCCAATTTCAGCGTGCTATCCATCGCGGGCAGACGCCTCTTGTACATTTTCGTGCCGAATTTGACTTCGTTTGTGGACCCTATTTTACCGGTGGACGGGTCGAATGAAAGCTCTCGACGAGATTTTTCCGCAAACACGATTGCCGGGCGGCACAGCAGAGCGTCCCTCTCGGCTGTGGTGGAATCGCGCTACGAAAGGCAGGCAGTCTAGGCCGGGAGGGGGAGACCACTGCCTCGACCAACTTACCATAGGGGGGGCTGGGCGAAACCACTGGCAAAGATTGGATTAGTAGGGAGTTCCACCTAACCTCGTGGGACAAAGTGTCCCATCCCGGTGAGGGAGGCGACAAAAACAAAAAATCAAGGTGGGCATCAGCAGTGGGGTCAGGGATAAATGTAGGGCAAAGGAAGGGTCAGGGGTTCGGTGTGGGCAGTCGGGTCAGTGAGGCATCGCATGTCACCTCGGATCTGAGGGCGATGAGGATGGAGAGGAACTTTCTCTTGTCTCCGACGACCATGCAGTTGGCGATGCACGGAAGCTCGGTCTTGAACTCGTTCTGCAAACGGACGGCGACGGAATGCCACATGACAAGATATGAGACAGACATACAGCCAGACATACAGAGACAGACAGACAGACGGTACAGAGAGAGAAACACGGATAGGCAAACACGGATAGACGGCCAAGAGAGATTGCGTCAAACATGCTGAAAAAAAGAGCTGCTTTGTATTACAGCAGCAAGCTGGTCGGAGAACGAGCTGAGCTGGTGTAACTTGTCGAGACTTGCGAAACTTCTTCCTCCACGTAGTTTTTTGTTCTCTTCTACAAAACACCAACAATTTTCACCACATACTGGGTGGGATGTAGTTCTTGCAACATGGCTCTTCCTTTCTGTGCTCTTGGAAATACAGAGACCACGAACAACAACGGCAACAGCAGCAGCAGCAGAAACAAAACAGCACGTAGGCCCTGGCCCCCTACGTGTGCTTCGCTCTTCGGGTGAACGCGCATAGTCCATGGCCCAAAAGAGCAAACACATACGCTACGCCGGCCGGTTGGGCCTCCTCTCCATCTTTAGTGTATGCCCCGCCGCATGCTCGCCCGTGCACGCTTGGTCGTGGCGACTAACGCGATCCACTGCTTTGCGTGTGTGACACAATGCGCGTAACACCTTACGCTGCAGCAACAAGAGCGCACCACACACGTGCACTTCACGTGTTTCTGTCTCTTGCTGGCTGGTGAGCGCTGACGACGCAACTTACACATAACCAAAACACAATAAACACAAACATAACGACGCCTGCCCATTGGCTCGATGGTTAACGCAGGCAGTGCAACAACCGAAGAGAGTCGTGATAGACACACATTGCGACAAAACGGCCCAGCAGCACCCAACCACGGACCGACCTCGATCAACACCGGCGGCACGTTCTCTCCCCCGGCAGTGATGATGAGCTCCTTGATACGCCCCGTGATTTGCATGAAGCCGCTGCAAACCGTGGTATAACGAGAGAGATAGAGGGAGGGGGAGAGAGAGAAAGAGGCAGGCCGCGCAAACAAAAAACCGGCGGACCATGAAGGAAGCGTGCATCAGGAAAAAAAAAAGATGAACGAACAAAGGTGATGGGATCGCGAGAGGCACGCAGCCATGACAGCTCCTTATTCTCGTCAGCCACGGATGCGCGCTGCTTGTTCTACCCCATGCACACAAGTGTCCCGAAACATGACGTCGTGGATGGTTGTAGCTACCAACAACCAACCAACGATTTCACGTCCCCCCTGGTCGACCCCGCTCCTGAGCTTCCTTCGTCACGAGGGTGGAAAGGCTCCAAGCTTGATGACCGAACCGAGTTACGAGAAAACACAAACCACAGAAACGCCAGGTTGCACGTGTCCAATCTAAGGAACTTGAGGGTGGCTTGAAGGTGTTGGGGCCATCAGGCACACTTCTCTGTTGAGAGGGGGGGAAGGAATTATCGAAACTGAAAACACAAGAAACGGTGATCGTATAGGGGAAAAAAGATTCCCCGTTTCAAGAATCGATCGTTTCGGGTTGCTACTCCTCCGAGAAATTACAAATACACGCAGCACAGGCAAAAGGGCCGTAAGAACGGCAGTGCAAACGAAAACATCATTGTCGCAGCACCGGAAATAACCCCCCCACCCCCGCCCCCTCCCCCCACCGTGGGGGTTGGGTTTTCGTCGCTTGGCAACGACGTTGTAAAACAAGCCGCCCCCCCGGTGTTTGCCATCGGGATTGGGTTTTCGTCGCTTGGCAACGACGTC